GTTAGTTTCTGCCATCTTTCAAGATTGGCGTCAAGCTTTGGTTAATTTAGGATTCAAGAGCAAGTGCCAAGCCCGGAAAAGAGTGAGTTGGGGAGCCGCGTCGAATGGGGTTTTGGGGTGCAGCTCCTGTAAGTCAGGCTCCTGCGGATTTACTCACTGAGGCGGGGAGAAGCAAAGCTGGCCTGCCCCACGGTTGGGAGGGGAAGAGGGTGTGATGTTTGCGGGTGACGCGATAGTGAGCCGAGATTGTGCGTCTCACACGTGCATCAAGTGCACTAGAGTGTGCGTGGTTCCCCCCTCCCCTCTTGGAAGAGGAATGTTCAAATCGCATTAAACAAGTTAGATGCTGTTTGGGTTTGAGTTTGACGCGCCGTGATAAATGACAGCCGGGCGAGCAATTTTTAAAGACACGACTTGTTTTCATGTTCTCTCTGGAAGCCTGAACTGCTGACTTTTAGCTGGCGGGGCTCAGAAGTTACCTGCTGACGTGCAACGGCTCCCCGCACTGTTTTTCAATTACTTTTACCTAGGCTCCAGAGCCTGGCCGGTGAGCGTAAATCACTGGAATCCTGCCCGGGTGTTTTTGGAAAAGAGAAGGGATTTAGAATCCACCCCAAATTCAAGGCAAGCGTGCCTCTGAATTTCAGGGCTGCATTTGCTGGAAATTGGGGGGCGAGGGGCGGTTCCCGCTGTTTGGCAACGGGGAGTGCGTGAGCACTGCAGGCTTTGCCTTAAAGTAAGCTTAATATTAATATCGTGAAGAAACCCGTCTTCCATTTCTCCAACGTTTTCTTCCTCTGCAAAAGAGGCTTCTGTTTTTCTACTTTATTCTCATGATGGCAAGGACGATCATGAGGATGACGATGATGGTGATGATGCAGAAAACCCTGTCTAGCCTCACTCCCTAAAGAGGTCTTTCAGCCTCCACAGCTGGCCCAATTCTGACGTTGCACCTCTGGTTCGCTGGCTGGTTAAGGGTGGGGTAGTCACTGCCCCTTGGTTGAAATCAGGTGGCCCCAGTCTCATGGAGTCTCTGATTTGAGCCTCTGATCTGAGACTGTTCCTCTCGGCTGAACCAGCTAAGACTCAGGAGAGACATGGGTGTGGATCTGTAGGTCCTTTAGCCAAGGGGCCTTTTGTGAGGACCCCCTTGACCCTCACTGGTTGCAGATTAGCAACACTCCTGACTTCTGAGCTGCACACCTTGTCCTGAGCATGGGGCATCTAATCAAAACTGTAGTCACCCCCAGCATCACCACCACCACCAGATCCTCAAGCACCAATCACATCTCAACACTTTGAGGTTCTCCAGATCAAGACTCCTACAGAATCTTGCATGTCTGATTTGTGCTTCCCACCACCCCATTGAATCAGGGAGGAACTAGCCTGGACTTCCTCCTAAGACCATCTCCTTTCCCAGGGCTTGAGGGATGTCTGGAACAGCTTCTGAACATTTCCTCAAGGCCATCTCCATGGCTCTCTTCTCTCCCCATTTCTCTCGGAGGACGGGGGACATCTGCAGGAAACCTCCATAGAGCTGGCCAACCTTTCATTTTCAAGACAATGAGGCTGGGGGAGAAACAACTCTGCGGTCCCATCAAGTGTGGGACCCCGAGCTGCTCTTGACGGAGTCTGGATCTGAGCCAGCTTGGACTGTGCCTCGTGCCCAATCAGGCTTGGCCATCTAGCGTTTTTCATTAAAACAGAATTTTATAGCCTATCAGATTGCAGAGGGCTTATCTCCAGAGCATTAAATAGTGATGCTGGGCACAGAGTCAAAATGACTTTGCAGAAAAGAGCAAGGGAGGAGGAGGATCATGGAAGGAAAGAGCCTACCACAAAAATGGAAGCTCACGTGCTAGCAGTTTGTCCTCCAAAGAGTTAGTCCGTTGATAGTAATGCCCTTCCGCTGCAACGTACTTCCTTCTGCTTCTACAGACAGTAGGCCTTCGGTTTATCGTCAGACCAAAGTGCCCCATTTTTCAAGTAAATACAAGCAAGTAGAGCTGGAGACCCACAGAGGCAGCAATTCTGCCCAAACGTCCAATCTTGAAGATAAAAGGCTGAATTTGCTGCACCTCCTTGGTGTTGGAGAAATGGAGTTCTTTCCATCCACTGGTCTTTCTCAATCTTCCTTTCCATTCCATTTTTCCCGGCAGACAAGGCATTTTCTAAAATGTCAAATCCTGTCGAACCATCGCATGTCGCCCGTGAGATACCAAGGCCGTTGTGCGTCGAGTAGCAAAAGCTGTAAAAAAAAACCAGATCTCAAATTCCAAAATCCAATCATCTCTGTCAACGTTCATTGGTGGTCCAAAGCAGACATGACAGTAAGCCTTGTGGCCAAGAGGGGGAGGGAAAACTTTGAGAAACTTGGTCCTTCGATAGGTTCCAGGAAATAACTAATGAGCGTGAAGTTCTTTAGCAGTGTGCAGATTTTGGAATTAAAGAATAACCCAGCTTTACTTAGGGCAGTGTTGTCCAAACTTGGCCACTTTAAGATGAGTGGACTTCAACTCCCAGAATTTCCCAGCCAGCTATGCTG